CAGCGTGCTGGCTGGGGAATTCTGGGAGTTGACGTCCACGCATCTTAAAGTTGCCAAGGTCGAGAAACACTGCTTTAACCCAACATTGTCACACTGATCCGTTTTCTAGCCGTTGAAGTCCACGCATCTTAAAGTTGCCAAGGTCGAGAAACACTGGGTTAAAGGAACTTCTCTATAGGGCAGTTTGCTTCAAAGAAATAAATTATATTTCTTTGTAATAAAATAAGTTTGCCTGGCACAGCTCTGAGATCTTGCAAAGGGCCCCCCCCATTTCTTGGAAGCCTCACTCCAACTGGCCAGCTGAAGCCCCGGATCCTCTTCAACAGAAGCAGCAAACAGCGGCTCTCCTGCCCCACGTTTTTCCCGCAAAACTTCCTGCTTTGTGGGGCAAATTCCCCTTTGAGCACGGTCCCTTGTCCTTGAGCTTTGCTCCGGCTTTCGCCTCTGGGAGAATCGGCTGGGCTGCAGCCCGGAATCCGGAAACGGTCCCAGGGCCAAAGCTCAAGGCTGTCCGGGGGAAAAGAATGGCCATTCCCCTAATATCAGATACCCCATATCACCGAATGGAAAATGTGTTTACCAGTATTTCATGTTGTGGTGGCAATGGGGAAGTAGCACATGGAGACTGGCATTTCTGCCAAGGTCCCCGTGATAACGGGCGGGAAGAAAAAGGTGGAGCGTGCTCTCTTCTTGAAAATAATATTCGAGCCCCTCCCTGGCAGCTTTTCAGTTGTCTGAACGTGCCAGGGTTTCGATAACGTACATCTGAATCTTCCCCGCGTAGCCCGGTTGGAAGGCATGCAAGCTTTCCAAAGCATTCAATTAAGGGGTTGCCCTGCCTGGCCCAAATAATTAGCTAATTAATTACTCCGTTACAAGCAAGTAACAATTCAGAGATCTTCCCCTCTTTCATCCCACCGAATTGCTTTCTCCAGTCTTTATCCCATCCGCTCTCTCAAGCATTGTTTTTTTTCTCTAACACTCGGCCACGGGATCGATGATACAAAAGCTGCCTGGGTCAATCGCTTGTGACATCCAGGCCAGGTAGGGCCGTCAAAGCGGTTGAACTCTTGGAAAAACGGGGCTGTTGATGGGCACGGCTCCAACTACGCCAAATGTCCATTTGGGGGGTCCAGCTGGCGTGGAATGAAGCTGACGGGCAAGGTTGAAATCTGTGACCAGCGTCGGGGAGTCTGATCGTCCCACCCATATTCATCACCCTGTTTTAAACCCATCTAAAGGTTTTGGGGCAGCGAGTTGCAGAAGCCAGCAGAATTGGGGAGTTGCGGGCTCCCCATCTGAAGCTGTTGCCACGCCAAGGGGACGAAACTGACCGTGCCACCCGCGTCCTGGCTGGGCGAGATCCTTGTTAGGACCAGCCAGAACGATCCCAAAAGGCATGCAAGCTTTGGGGCGCCCCAGCTTCCTTCTGCCGCCAAGAAAGGCGGCTTCTGCACTGTGCAAAAGGCCAGCCCTGAAAGGTGGTCAGCTGAGTGGTTTGGACCCTGTGCACCCAGACAGGACATCAGCCTGTTTTTTCAGCAACCGCCTTTTATCCCAACAGGCCCTGTTCAAGGAGGGCCTTGACTGGAGGTCCAGATCTCTTGCTCCTCTCTGTCCAGTCTGCTTTACCCAAATACAAGATCCTGGCAGGATGTCTCTTTGGGTAGCTGAAGTTCTCTCTTTAAAGTAATCCCCGCGGTCAGCTTCTCCCTGCAAAGCTGCATACCAGTTGCTGGCTTGTACCCAGCTCTTTCCCTAAGAAACAAGACTGTGAAATGTTCATTTTTGGGCCCAGCCTCACCTTCTGTGCTCCTGCTTGGTTTCCGTCCCTTCGTGGAATGGAAACTTTCCTTTGAAAAGAGTGTTGAGGGGGACTTTCCCGGCCCCTTCTCCCCCCGTGCCAAACTGAGATCTTTTTAGAGAAAAAGAAAAAGCCACTTTTACCCGTCTGAAGCTGGACTTTTCCTTTCCTTTCCTCCTCTTCTGTTTACTGCCTTTGCGCTGTGAAAACGGCAAACATCGCTCAAGCAGATTTAACCTGGCCGGCTCTCTGTCTGGGCTCCAGTTTTAATCTCTTTTTCTGACATGCTTCAATTTCTCCCAAGTAAGAGAGCAGGATGTCGAGTAAATGGCAACCTCTCCCAATCTGCAGTAAAATAATTTTCATAAACACGGGTCCTTTTGCTTCAGAAGGAAAGAATGTGCTCCCTCTAGGGGCCAGGGAGCAGCATGGAAAACTGACTGCTTTCCTTATGATGCCGTGAGCTGAAAAAACTGGATTTATGCATGAACATGGACATAGCCATTTTGAGAAAGCAGAGGCTGCTTTGTTCAGGCAGCACCAGGAAAGAAAGCCCACAAACAGCTGCTTCCTCTTCTAAAAAGTGATGGAATTAACTCTGATACTCTTATTGCTGCTGATACACCAGGCTTTTTGGCAGCCTCCAAAGGAAACCTTAACGGATCCATCTCAAATTACACCCTCCCCCCCCCCCCCCCC